GGGGCACCAGCAAGGCAGGGTGGGGAGTGAGAGGCACAAGCAGGGCCAGAGGGCTGGGAGGGGGTGGGAATGAGTGGCACCAGTGGGGGTGAGGGGCATGGACCTGTGTTCTGTGAGCTAATGGGGCAGAGGGAGCTCTGGTTTTCCATAATAAAAAAACCCAAACTCAAATGTCAAAATTTATAGGTATTTAGAATTTATTTTATTGTGTTCAACTGATACCTGTATATATAGTGACTTTTCATTTTAATCACAGATTTTGGGGTATTTATCAGGGAATTTTCAATTTTTTTAAATTATTTTAAAAAATTTTTTTATATATATATTTATTTTTTAATCAAGGTGATACCAGGATCTTTGGTCATCAGCTGTGTGTTCAGTTTCAAAATACTCTCAATCCTCTGTCCTGCTTTTAAACCCAAAAGGAACGGGAAAATAGCAGATGGTAGTGGTGGTTCAGCATTTTCAGATGTCAGTGCTGGATTCGTGTTCTGAGAAATACCCGTGTGGACTCTGCATGCAGAGTGGCTGATTGTGCATGTATTATCTGCCCTGCTAAGGATAGAAATCACAAACGAGAGCTACTTTTAATATAGGGTTGACAGTTTTTGTTTTCAGAGTATGCTTTTGCTTTTGTTCTGTAGTTCTGAAGGTTCAAAGACTGTCAGGAACAAGAGACAGAAATCATAATCTCTTCCCTCCAGTGAGTAAAGTAATCATGCTTTCTTTCTAGGTGGCAGAGGATGGGCTGACAATACCCTTTAATCTGTACTGAATTCCAAATTATTTTACTGTCTAAGGTTTTCTTAATGTATCCAAAGTCTAAAGCTCCTGGGACCACAGCTGGGGTTGGGGAGGCGGGGAAGAGAGACTATCCATGTACTAATAAGATACGAAGATACGTATCCTCCATTCTTCCTGCTTCCCCCCGGGATAAAAAATTGTTCTCTAAATAAATTTGCCTATAGTGTCTTGCCTTTAAGTCAAATTCTTGCCTTTGGTAACTATAAGTAGATTTGGTTTGTTTGGCAGTGCTTGTTTCTATGTAGAAATGATTGCTGTAAATTTAAATATTTATAAAATGTTTTACCTCTGTACCATAGATATGGAATTTGCTTTAACTCTAACACAGAAAGAATAAAAATTAGCCACCTCTGGCCAGTGCCTTATAATTGAATGTGTACAAGGTTATTTTATTTTATATTAATTAAAGAGTGAATCAGTTCACTGTTCTGGGAGCATGTTACTGTGCTGAACAGAATACAATTGGAATAAAATCCAATTACATAAAAACAAAACAAACAAACCAACCCCCTACATGTACAGGCGGAAAGCACCCTCGGTGCTCTTTCATCTGAAGAACATGACAGTGTGAATTGGCTTCCACCTTTGTTTTGAGAGGTTGCTGTGGTGATGAATAGGCTTCTTAGAGTGCATGTGCGTGTCCTGTTTTTCC